TTCAAGATATGTACACATTTTTTATTGTTATGTATTTTCTTGTATGCTTTAAGAAAACTTTAAATGTTTTTAACCCTATAGATTAATCTATAATGAATTTAAATTCTTATATGTAAACATTTTTGGTTATTTTATTTTCTTGCTTGAAATTATTATGTGTTTTAAGTAAACCATTTTCGAGTTAAAAAAGACAAAAAACAAAAGTAGAAAACTTCTATTCTTTAATGTAAAGCTATTTAAATCACTCCTTATCCTATTCCCAAATGCAACCAAAGATATTCTTTGCAATTCCAAAACCCAGTATTAACACAAATGTTATTACTCATAGGTTTTTGTCTAATCGCTTAAACAAAATGCCTTCTTTCTAGCCATTTTACATTTTAATGAGAGGTAGTGATTCCCTCCCCCCAGTAGTAATCAACCCATGGGAATTTTGATTAAGACTAAATATTATTTCTGCTAGACAGTACCACATTTGTATACTAGCAATTTTGTCCTTATGTTCTAGATTGCTTTCTTGAAAAAGAGCCTTCCTTCAGAGCCTATGATCCACAAACTCCACTAGTGTTATCCAGGCACTGACCTGTATTAGATTAGCTCTGTTCTTGATTTTCTCCTTGGATATGGTTTTCAACCCTCCCTCTCATCCTCATGTAGACTTGACCAGATGCTTGGAAGATCTCTGTCATGAGCATGCTATGTCATTAACATAGATGAAACATGTTTGTGTCTTTCCACAATGTCAGAATGTTTGAATAACAATAAATTCACAGTCTATACCACTTTTATCAGTGGCAGTTCACTGAATACTTATGGGTCACCAAGTCATCATAAGCCAGCCAATCATAGACTCTTTTACTTTAATCTTAATTTCTAATATCTGTTACACTCAATTCGCACATCACACTTCACCCAATTATATCAATAAGTTACAAAAGGGCTAAGAAAGGATTAAGATAGCCATAAGGGTTCAGAAAGCTAAACTAAGAGCAAAGGCAGAGAGCAGATATGAATGAAAAGAGTCATTGTAGGTCATCAGATAAATTTACACACCAGACAAAGAATTTGCTCAGGGTACAAAGCTGTCAAAGCACAGGATCATATTCTAGACAAAGTTCTGGACAGATGATAGTTTCACAGTGTCAACTTATAGTAGGACTCGTGAAGTCATCAGGGGTAAGAGAAACTGCACTCTGCTGAAGCCCCTAGACAGAGGTTCAGATGTTTGTCACTGTAGTGATTTTCCTGGCAAGGCTTGAGATGAGTGACCAGGTGACAGGGTCAGGGTGATGCTGTCTCAGGGTGCTCCTCTTTTTATGAGTCTTCAATGAACTGGGGGTCACATCAATACATGGTCTAGTGTATTTGATAAGCTCATGGGTCAAGTTTTTCAGAAGAGTTTGATATAGCCATGCACCCATGTGCTTCTGATTAATTGGAAAAGTTCACAGTGGTCATTTTTATCAGTATGATTATCATTTTATGCCATATGGTTTACAAAGCAGGTGTGGAGTCATTGCATCTCAGTACTTAAACTCAAAATGGAGTAGCTTATGACCAACTACTGCTTTAAAAGGTGGAGTAACAAGGTTCCAGAACAGTCTAAAAACTTCTGTCCTATTCATCATGGAGTATAGAGCACAGCACAGCCTCCTCTCCATAATCTCCAAGACCTCTGTCTGAGACTTTGCAGGGACCAGTGTCCATGTCCAATTCTAGGATGCCAGCCCTAGCAAGGAAATTGCTGCTGGTGGTTCCTTATTTTAAAGTGTTTTCCTGGAAATCAAAGATACCTCAGGGGGAAACCTGCCACCATTATTTGGCTAAAAGAATAGACTATAAAAGTTTTGGAGTCTTCAAATATTCTGACAAGATGTTAAATGTTCAAATGGATATGACAATGATATTTTGAGGACTAATCAGATGTCAGAAGTGTCCTAGAATCTGATTAGAAATGCACCGTTTTGATTGATGTCAAATTCTTGGAGCATAAGATAGAAATTCAAATAGATATTCACTTTTACATACACTGTGAATATAGGAGAAAATAAATTGGTAATGGGTGGGAAATGGACAATAAATCATTCCTGTCTATGAATTATACATATTGACATAGTCTTAAAGATTTTTGGAAAGGGAGTCATTTACTGTGATTACTTACAGGAGGGCTGAGGATATTGGATGATGAGCTTTAGATCAAGAAGACTTTCCATCCTTGGTGCAATCATACAAAGCTCTGGCATTGTGAGATTCAGAGGAGAAAGCTGAGGACCCTTAAGTCCAGGAGTCTCATCCTTCATAAACTTTTTCTTCCTACACACAAACATACTCTACTTACTCTACCAACATGACTAAAAAAGAGCTGCAAAGCTTGCACAATTCTTGTCCTTAGAAATGGTGCTGAGAATTGCCAGGACAAATTCATGTTCATCCCTTCTAATGTAGGTAACACATCGAGAGCTTTAGAATAAATCAAGAGGCAAGGCCGACTCAGAACTGACTTTTGGAAGTGATTTTCTAACACCCAATTCTGAAGAAAAAACTATATGTTCTAAATTTTTTCATTCAAATTTAAGTATCCAAGAGGTCTGATTCCATCTGTCATTTATCAAATGTTAATACGATCTCACAGCAAAAACAAAACTTCTTTGGTACTGTGGATTCAACCCAGGGACATACTGCCATGGAGCTACATTCCCAAATCTTTCCATTTTTTATTTTAGTACAGGGTCTCAAAGAGGTGCTTAGGGTGCTAAGTGCTGATTTCAAACTTGAGATCCTCCTGCCTTAGCCCTCTTGAGTTTCTGGGATTACAGACATACACCACTGCACCCAGTCACAAAATTCTTTTCTAAGTCACTTTCAGTTATATTTTTAAGAACAAATATGTACTGACAATATTGTAAAAACAAGCAAAGTACTTTTGCATAGATTATCTTAATTGCTCTTAACTGCAATGATGTTTAGCAATTTTATAGATGAGGAAGCTAAAGCCAAAAAAACTTATATTTAGTAAATCACAAAGGTTGAAGTAGAAAGTTCTTTAGGTTTCTAATTTAGTTTACTTGCTTACTCACCAGATTTCCTGCAATGCTACAAATTAGAAAGTGACTGGGTTGTTTCCGCTTGTGATTTCATAACACAAAATGTTTAATCTGTCATTTTTCCACTAGAGGAAAAAATACTTTTGTGCATCCAGTTTTTTACATTATAGTTTCAACATGTTACTAGAAATTATCAAATACTGCTGAATAAAACACTAATTTTCCTTATTTCCATAATCACCAAGAAGTTTTCTACTTTTGACATATTAAGTAGAAAAATAGTTAAGAATGGTCCTACATGAATAAAAATTAAAAATTGATACTCTATCACAGGGAAAATCTTATGTGTGAGCTAAAAAGAATAAAATCTAAAAATAAATTAACAGTACATAGTTCTGCATTTCTTAGCATTTAAAAATATTTTATGTGTTCCATTTTGTCTCAGTCACATCAAAAGGAAAAGAGATGATGTCTGTGCTTCCTTACCCTTTTCAAATCACCCAGATGCTGTTATATACCAGGCCAATGGGAAGGCAAATGCTCTCCATTTTGCAATGAATTACACTCTATTTGCTACCTGCTCTGATTTCTTTCCCCTTAGTCTCCCTCAACTAGTGCCAAGAATTTCTCTTGTGCTGTTCAGCGTCCTCTGTGATGAAGCTCTCCTCCCCTGGGAAGGTGGCATGTGGATTTATAGCCATACTCACAGCACTTTTGGTAGGGCAGCTTTTGAGAAAGTGAGAGAACCTGGAATGACCAAAATTCTAAAACTTCAATATGTGGCCAGAGTTGCATACCGAGTGGAAAAGAGGAGAGAATGTTTAATTTGTTTTGATTTTATTCATATTAATTTCTTAACAATCTTTTCCTTTTTCTCTCGCCCCTTTGCTTTCTTTGGCTCTTGTCCATTTATGAAATTCATAAAAGGAATATCAGCTCTGTCTATTGGTCAACATGATGATTACAGTTAATAATATATTGTCTTTTGAACAACATAGTATATTCTTGAAAAATAACAAGAGAGTAGATGTGATGATAATGATGTGAGATAAGGCATATGCTAGTTAGCTAGATGTAGGCATTCTCCAATGTACTTGTACTTCACAGCAAGGTATTATACATGGTAAATACATACATATTTACCCACCAACTTAAGTAAATTATATATATATATATATAAAATTTAAAATAAATTTTTTAAATATTCTATGTGTTTATTTTATGTGTGTGCATATGTGTGTATGTGTGTATATGTGTATGTGTGTGTGTGTGTGTGTGTGTGTGTATACATATGTAATGGTCTTAGGTAACTTGAAAACAAAGAGCCTTTTAATTATTTACTCCATTGTTGATTTTGTTTTTAACTAATTGAATAGCTGGTTATGTGTTAATAATGGACAGCTCTTTTTAATTAGTTTAGAAGACATTAAATTTGAAACTTCACTGAATCATTTTTGTGAAAAATCAAAGCATTTTTGTACATACACAGGGAACTGGGTCAGGGTGAATACTGCCTCTTCTATGTATCATTCTGCATGTATTATTCTGCAATTAATTTGATGTTTTCTTTCTTCTTTCTTTCAAGGGCCTCTGATTTGATTGTTAATCATTTCTTTTTAGCTTATAATTTTACATTCGATTCTCTAAATATGAATCTTGTGTGTGTGTGCATATATGTTATACATCCTCATTTCTTTAGAAATCTCATAATAGCAAAACATAGAAAGGAACTCAGTATCATAAAACATTTGTTTACAAGAACTTGTACAGAATTGCTGCAGGTCACTATCAATGGTGTATTTATTGCCAGTTTGAAGCAGAGTTGAACGGTAACTACCTGAACTAATGAGCTTCCCTGTGGTTAAAATGCTCAGTAGTTACTTTTCAGGAGGAAATATGGCAGTCACACGTGGACTGACCATCTCTAAAAGAATTCGGATTCCTTTTATTTTTCAGGTGAAAACTGAAACCCAGTCTGTGACTGGAGGGAATCTTATGCATGCCTGCCCTCATCATAACTCTGGAACTGCCTTCTCCATTGCCCCTGAGAACTTGATGTACAGAAGATCTTTTGAAAGGTAAAAACAGTGAGATTTATTATCAGTCCCCCTCTGTAATGCCAAATGATGGCATTAGTGTATTTTGCTCTAACATGCTATTTTTCTTCGGTGGAACCTAAATATGTTGCTCCATTAGGATTTATCCCATCCATCACTGCATGAGTTTTGTAAAACAGAAGAGAAGATAAATATTACTCTCTTTAACATCTAGGTGGCATAAGCACAGAGTTTAAGTGACTTGTCAGAAGCATAGTCACTTAGTTGTCAAGCTTGTATTGGAGGAAAAAAAATGATTTCCAATTCTGTACCTGTAAATTAAATTGTGTAATCTAGCAACTGAAGCATCAGATTGTACTGAAACTTGCTAAAAGGACTGATAAAACTTGACAAAGAACTTTTTCCTCTTCACAACATTCATGCTAGGTGAGTTGAATCTGTTAGTAAGGCACATTATCATGAAATTTCCCTTAGCCCAGTTATTTTTTTTTAAGAGAGAGTGAGAGAGGAGAGAGAGAGAGAGAGAGAGAGAGAGAGAGAGAGAGAGAGAGAGAGAGAGAGAGAGAATTTTTAATATT